CCGCATGACCTTCCTCTCCGGCGCCGTCAACGTCTGCGGCGCAGGTCTCGTCCACGACCCCTCAAACCCCTCAGACCACAAGACAATGTACCAACTCATCGCCTCCTCCGTCGTCAATACCCCGCCTCCATCGTACATCATCAAGCTCCTACACAGCCACAGCAAGCCGCTCTATGTCCCCGCCAACGGCCACAGATCCTCGGGCCAGGTGAGCGATACGAAGGAAGACATGATGGAGATCTTCCAGACAGACGTCAACGGTCAGGCCCGTGAATACCGCAAGCTCATGGCGCGTCGGAACTACGTCGCTATTGTCGCTTATGACCCTGAGGCGGTTAATCCTTCCTATGGCCATATGACGCCTGGTGGGGTTAGTAAATTGAGTCTCGCGGCGGACTTTATGGTCCAGGGTGATGGGGCTCTTGGAAATGTGGTTAAATTCGGGCCTGTTATTGTGCCGAGTTTGGATCATGGTCGGTGATGAAGTTTAAGGGTGTTCTTTTTATATGTGTTGAGGGGTCCTTCGGTTTCGATGATTGATTTTCTTTCTTGCACAGGATTCTTATTGTTCTTTGATGGTTTCTTTTGATTTGGTTCTTTTTGGCGTGTTTTCATATCCGCTGCTCTTTTCTTCTCTGGTTCCCTTAGGGGTGTAATGCCTTGGTCCATTATATTGAGACAATTACACAGCTGTTCTGGCTTGATCCTTGGCTCGACTTGCAATTGCTTCGAAGGAACAATCTTAGAGATGGGATGCTAGATATCAGATTGAAAGAACGTAGTTTCTCACAAGACAAGGTACCTGGTAATATGCAGAATGGGGTATCCGTGGTATATCAATAGAAAAGAAAGCAAAGCAACCAGCGCCAGTATCTAATCCAGATAGGATCCATGTAGGTACCTATACTCTATCCAGTTGGATCTCCCCCCGGAACACAAAGACCAATCCGCCAAAAATAATCCCGATGAGCATAAAACAGTTCCCAAAGCCGATATCTCGCCGGTATAAGAGACCAATCCCACCGCAGAGGCGATAATCTATCCTCACAATCAGCAAGATCCGAACTCTCACGTCCCAAGACACCTTGCTCCCTAGCTACATCACCAGCACCACGATCAACACCACCACTCGACCGACACCCCTCGCCAGGACCAGCCAACCCAACAGGAACATTCAAATCCCGATACAACTCAACCAAAACCCCTTCCCTCCCCTCACCCGCAATACACCCAGGATCCTCCGCACCAAGGCAATGAAGCACATCCTCCCTACGCGGCGGCAGCTCCTCCCTCTTAATAAAAACCTCCCCAGCATGAGGACGATATCCCCACTCAGCAAGCGGAAGCATAGGAACCGGATCTCCGACATGCGTCACACGACGAAAGCGCATACCCCCCTCAAGCGGGTGATCGAGCGGGGGAATCGATACCCCATCCCCGAGCCCGAATTGCTCGTCGAGGAATGCCACGAACGCCCCGTTCCCGATCATCGGCTCCCCGAACGTCGTAACCGTTGCATCCCAGCCCTTCAGACGCATCTCGAGGCCTGCTAGGGCTGCGACTGCGCCGCCGAGGGAATGGCCTACGAGCGTTATGGCGTAGTCTGGGTATTTTTGGCGTAGGATGGAGATTTGTGGGAGGATTGTTGATCGGGTTTCGAGCCATGAGCGCATGAAGCCGGCGTGCACGGCGCAGCTTTCGCAGTGTGGGCCTGTGCGGGTGGAAGTTGTAGTGTTTTCTTCCGGGTCTGGGTAGGGGATGTAGGCTTGGGGGTAGGCGGAGAGGTCGATTATGGTGTTTGTTATTGAGTAGGTGCCGCGGAAGGCGAGGATTATTTGTTTGGTGGACGGGGCGTGGGAGAGGGCTATGTAGCCGCATGAGTCTGAGAGGAGGAGGCCGGTGTTCCAGGTCTGCGGGGTGGGTTGTGTTAGTGGGGTTGTGTCATGAGTGCTTGGTTGGAGGTAGGTAACTCACAGTTACTAGTTCTAGATCTGGGAACTCGATGCAGCGGCTGAGGCACTCGAACGGTTGGTGTACTCCTGTTGTTCCGACGCAGTATGAAATATCCACTATCCGGGATAACTCTTCCAATGAGTTCAATAGTTCGTTGGATACATGTTTGGTCTTGCTCTGGGCTGCAGCGAGACTCAGGATACAGATGTATAGTAGTAAGGAAAAGAATAAAATGCTAGCCATGGCTTAGCATACTGAGTTGGGTAGGAGGAAGCGATGGATTCATCTCTTTCAAAGGAAGAGAACAGGAGCGTGTGATGTGGAGACGTGACCGCCCAGGTGGAACCTTGGAATCCGGGGTAATTATGTCATCTATTTCCTCATTGGTCGGTTTATGTCGATCAATCCTAAAAGTAGAAGATCCTTGTTAAACGACAGGAACTACATATAGTGTGAACTAATCCACAGCATTACAGATAGAAATAAATGATAAAAAGAGTGTGTGTGATTAGCAAAGAGTAGTAAGATACTTAGCTATTTAACCCCTATAGGCTTATAAAGTAGTGCTAGGCCTTCATTTAGGTGATACCTAAGGTGGTTATAGATACATGTATAGAAAGTAAATATGTAGATAGTGTAATAGGACGGGATGCCACTGTATAGTACTCTATTCAGGGTTCATGCTACTACAATTTTCAATAATTCATTCATTTTCCCTCACGCGGCATATTCACTTCGCATACACACATCATAACTCGACAGAAGCAATATACAGTAATTACAATTTCCATGTATAGCTTCAGCTAGCCACAGTTTTGAACAGAATTCCAGCTCCTATTGGCCTATCCCTTACATATCGAACAGTCACACCGCATCCTTATCCGTTGACGAGGAATGAGACAGCCCAGATGATGGCGGCATTTATAGCACGAGACAGACCACGCTTTTAGCCCTTGACCGCTCACTCCTGTCCAAACTCCAAGTATACTTTCCAAAATCAAACGAGTTATCAGAATGTCTGTCCTGAGTATGCCAGCTGTGCCGTCATGGGTACCTTCACCCGACTATTTAGGCATTGTGGTGTCCCGCTACAGAGAGCCTCTAGATCCCTGGGCCGATGTGGCGCCTAACACCTATCTCTATGCAAAGTTTGACACGCCGCAAGAAAATGACACCGTACTGCACGGTTCATTTCGCCTTTACGAGCAACTTCCCAACACCGGCCGGGAAGGGAGAACCTACTGCCATCATATCTACAACAACTACGATGATCTGCAGCCAATCGTAATCTTCACCCAAGCCGATCCCTTTGACATGATTGGGCCGGAGACCAACACAACCGAGGAAATGGTTGGAAAGGCGCTCAAGAAACCCAGCCCCGAGGACGATCCAACCACCATCTTCAACCACGGCTTGCTTCATGACCTGGCGGAATGGGGCAAGGTCGATTGGTCCTCGCCGGCAGAGTGTTACTGGATCAAGCCCAGTCAACTCGAAATCCTCACTCTTGCGCCTTATGATATGGCTACGTTCTGGGAGAGATTGTTTGAAGAAGACCACCCACCTGCCGTTCGGGTTGTTCACGGCGCGTCATTTGCGGTACGAAGGGAGACTATCTGGCAGCATGAGCGAAGCCTCTATAAACGGTGCTTGGATATGTTCACCGAGGACGGGCAGAATGTGGTCAATCCGGAAGTGGGTCTTTTCATGGAGAGAGCTTGGCTGGCCGTTTGGAGTAGGAAATTTTGGCTACCATTCCAGATCATCAAAAGGGATTTGACGGGCATATGAGGTACAGCCGTTGAATAGTGGTGGAACATGTTCCAAGGTCATCCCCGGACAGTTAGTCATTGGCCTAATGGTAATATCGAGTCGTATATCTCTCCAGAAAGGCCAAGCGATATATATCGCATATAGCCTAAGTTGATAGATAGTATTGTACCTGTGCCATTGAAAAATTGGATATTTCTACTTTCGCACGTTTGAGTTAGGTTAATGATATGGGTTGCAGGCATGATCCCCTCGTGGTAGCTACATATGTAGATAGTAGTTTAGGAGCTTGCTCCTTTCTCTCCTAATACAACCGTCTTCCTTCTGCAGTTCAGTCGCTACATACTGTAGTGCCTAAGAGGTTACGAGTCCTCGCTTTTTCTAAGCTATCATCTCTCTCTAGAAGGACATGTTCATTTCTTTACCACCTGTATTGTGTAGAGAGTCGCGTTAGAGTGCAGTAAATTTCCTCCGCGTAAAGCAGAGTTTTTATTTCAAATATTCGATTAACAACCTATCTAACTAATTAGTATCTAGGGATCTGTGTATGTCCTTTATCAAGTCAGCTTTGCACTAATCTATACGATCGAATCCACTAAGAACAACCCTTAACGACTATAAACTATCAGAATACCGGAAGATATAAAGATATTCTATCTGGGGAGTATACTTAGGTAGGTATACGTACATACATAGACACGGGTCGGCTCTTGTCTTTGCCAGAGCATCAAAAAGACGTCAGAAAAGACGTCAGAAAATAGCCTTAAGAATACCTAGAAATCTTGGAAGGATATGTATTAGAGATGCCAGTGACAGGCTACGCCTTGTTATACTTCCAAAGTTAATTCATTTACAGTCTACAACTATGACACACGGGAATGCAAAGTCAGGATTCTTCAATTTTCAATAGTAGTGCGGGACGGACATTCTTCGCTTTATTTATTCGTGTTTTACTTTATCGACTTCAATATCCTATAGTGTTATGATGACTGTCATTCTTTGCTTTATTTGTATTTCTTATACAAATCAGGCGGTCCAAATGACAACACGACCGTCGACACCGCTCGCTATGACAATTTGTTAGTATCTTGTAGGTCTTAAGTTTTCAGGAAGGAGATCTTACTGCTGAAGGAGCTCACAACCCCATTGGCTTCTTCGTGGGCCCGGATAGTGTGCACAGTGTTCTGGTGGGTAGACTTGAGCTTGGTGTCTGCCTGGGCCTGGCCCTTGAGATCCATCTGCCGGAACATGTTCAAAGCAGACTCCTCGCGGGCCCCCCGGGCTTCTCCAGCCTTATTCTCCAGAGAGCCGGCAAGTTGCCATCCATTCTCATCGCCGCGGAAACGGAAGGGCTCACAGTCCTAGATACGGTTAGCACGAGCCGTTATAATAACTAAAAAGGAGGCGACTTACATGTCCGGCTGCAATGATCTCAGTCTCGCCGTTCCAGATAAGGCTGTTGAGAGGCAGCAAACGGGTAGCGATATTCAACATTGCTCGCGGGGGCTGCTCCGGAGCGCTGGGGTACACGACAGTCACACTGCTGTCATGTCCAGTGAAGGCGAGCGCATTACCACTAGGAGAGAAGGCAACACCCTGGATCCAACCAGCGGTATCATTCAGGTATTCGCCACAGATGGTGTTGAAAGGAAGGCGCTCTCCCCACGCACTGGGCTCCGGTCGGGTATCAATACCCTTGATGAAGCTCGAGAAAACTCGGGCGTGGGAATCGGTCGATCCGGCTGCCAGCAGGACGGAGTTCGGGTGCCACGCCAGGGTTGTAATAGTACTGCGAATAGGCTTCTTGAGGTGCTTCGAGATCCACCAGTCGTTCTCCTCCTCGAAGTAGCAGACTGCAATCACTCGAGCGCCGGAGCCAACGGCGAACTTCTGCTCCGATGGAGACCAGCGCACGAAGGTTGCGGCGCGGTTGATTCGGAGAAGGACCAGAGTAGGTTTCCATCCAGTGGGGCTCTGCTCCCAAACGTAGGCATTGCGGTCTATAGAGTGGACATCTGTCAGGTATTGTACATGGTATAGTAAAAGGAGTCTTGCAAAAACGTACCTTGCGAGCAAGTGACGATTCGGCCACTGTTTGGAGCAATATCAACGCTGGTGACTGTCTTCTCGTGGCCCTTAAGCTCATCGCTCAGCGCGAACTTGTTGCCTGATTGTTGATACAGCTCCACATTGTTCTCCCGAGCGACAGCAAGTGTCTTCTTGTCGGATGAGAACGAGTGGTCTGCAATTGGTGCGTGGAAGAGATGGTGAACCTGAGGAGCAGCCATATTTGAGATAATAGCGACAGGAGGGTCTCTCTACCGTCGTGCTTTTGTACTTAGTTGTAGTTGCGGGACCAGGAGGGGAGCTAGGTGATGACGGTGCTGCTTAGTAAGGAAGTCCATCACATGACCCCAAACTACTTTTATGTCGAGGTTTTGAGGCCATGGACACAGCACGCGATTGAGCTTCATTTTCCCATACGTTATCCCATTTACTCTTTCAATCAGACGACAGCGTGTCCAAAATTTCTAGTCATCTGAGAAATGGCTTCGAAATCTCTACCTGCCCGTGGAGGCCCTGACAGCAAGGCCGTTACTCCCGGCGCTCCTAACCAGACGTGAGCTTGCCCTTCCAAGCACAGGAGACTGTCGCGCATTGACGCTAACAATTTTTAGGCTCTACTGCACAAATTTGCCCGACAAAAGAATCCAGAAAAATGATCTCCGGACGGCACTATATTCCCTGTTCTCCACATACGGCACCGTTCTCGACGTCGTGGCCATGAAGACGAGCAAAATGCGAGGCCAGGCCCATATCGTGTTTAAGGATGTCCAAGCTAGTACGCAGGCACTGCGGGCTTTACAAGGATTCGAGTTCTTCGGGAAACAGATGGTACGTTCTCATTTCCCTTCTATCGTCGCAAACCCCCGCTCAATCAATGGATGTCCAGAAAATCGTGTACGCCAAAGGATCATCAAGTATCATTTCCAAACTTCGCGGCACGTACATTGCGCCAGTTGAGGCTGCGCCTGCCCCGGTCACGACAGACCTCCAAAAGTCTATCTTCAGTGGTCCTCCAGGTGCACTCCCTGCACGACCCACCACCGATGCCAATGGAGAGACCCATGGCTTGAAGCGACCGCGTGAAGAGGAGAGTGACAACGAAGAGGCCCCGATGGACGAAGATAGCGACGTGCCTATGGAAGCTTCCTCAGATGAGGAGTAATCTGATGAATGGGCCCCACTGGGGACTGAGAGGGAGTTGAAGTCCTCATTTGCATGTGATTTTTTTTATTCCCCAGCGTTTCCAGCATATGCAATCGTATTGGCTGGTACTTCGAGCGAGTATTTACCATAATATGATCTATCTGATACTGATTCTATATTAGGCGCCCTGCTCTTAGATGAGACTGTTCCATATGAAGCTGAGTGTTATTCAGCTTTATCAGGGAGTAGCTTCTGAAATGGATTCCGATACTTCATCCGATTAGAGTGGACATCGTAAGGTACTCTATGATTTATGTACTAGGTGGTGGAAAGAAGTCCACTTTCGTCATCTCGAAATGCCTTAATGATATGAATATGCATCTCAGTGCTAATCCTTTGACTGTAAGCATTTATCTGTACCTAGGTAGCTTTTGCTTGCGACCCCCGCTACCCGCTTGCCTATTGGCTTGATTCTGCCGAATTTATGAATTCGTCATTCTCATTCGCCTAGAATTTTGACCGCTTGTGGGTAGTGCTGCCAGCCGCATCCGATCAAAACTATCTACACCGCCTATTCACATTGTCAAATTGTCATTATATATTGTCAGTACTCCGTCTAACTAGGTATACTGTCATTATATATCTACACCACCCCCCAACACTTTCAACGTCGCCGTCCCTACAGCTGCGGCCGCGATGCCACTGCTATTAGTACCGCTTTCATTGTTATAAATATATTTCTACGTCTTCTTGGTTTCTCTCTCCTTATATACTTTTATAGCTCTATCTCTCCCTCCTCCCTATCGTACGGTTCGGCCACGCCGTCGTTTCTCTGCCTCCGAACCTCTAGGGGTCATACCGTCTTACTCTAATAGGCCTCTAGTTGCGCGCTTTTCGTCCTATTCGCAGCCTTCTACTATAACAAATCCCCCGACAATGAATCCTCCGAAGAGGATCCTCTGATGATATATCCTCCGACGCTGATGACGAACACTCCGCTGAAGGCCTTTCGGATGACGAACTCTCTGATGACGAACTCGTCGACGGCGAACTCTCCGATGAAGACCCTTTGGATAACGGACTCTCGTATATCGAAGCCCTATATCCTAGCCTCTCTTCCATTAAACCCTTGAAGCCGATCGACTAGCTTCGTTATATTCGAGGGGACAGACTGCGGCTTCTAATCGGAAGGTGGGAATATCGGAACTACCCCGCTGTGACCACTGCGCATTTTATGAATGTGTCGCCGCGAAGTGCCTTTCGATGGCTTACCGGATCCTCTTTATATGGAAGCTTCCTCAGAAGAAGAGTAATCTAATGAATGGGGCCTGCTGTGGACTGAGAAAGACTTGAAGTCCTCGATTTGCATGTGATTTTTTTATTCCCCAGCGTTTCTAGCGAGCCACCTCGTTAAAAATTGAAGATAATGAGACCCAGAGGCCACTACTCCACCAACGTTCCTATTAGACTAAAAGGCCATAACAAAGTCAGTTCATAGAAACTAACTTTACTATAGTGGTGTATATATATTTTATATAGGTGTCTATAACAACATATGTGGTGGAATTATAGTAATATATACATATGTACATAGTGCTGCGATTAATCTGATAACTAACGTTTCTCAGAGAATGCTTGCAGTCGCGAGGATAAGCAGCCTGAGATAGCACATCTATATCGTAAAGGCATTTCAAGATGACGAAGTGGACTTCTTTCCACCACCTAGTACATAAATCATAGAGTACCCTACGATGTCCACTCTAATCGGATGAAGTATCGGAATCCATCTCAGAAGCTCCCTGACGAAGCTGAACAACACTCAGCTTCACATAGAACTGTCTTATCTAAAAGCAGGGCGCCTATTATAGAATCAATACCAGACAGGTCATATTATGGTAAATACTCACTCGAAGTACCAGCCAATATTATTGCATATGCGTTTGCTTCTATCTTCCTTTTTATACTATATAGACCCTTCTTCTTCCATTCTTTACTCTCTCCCCCTCTTATTTCCTTTACTGCTAAGCGGCATCGTATATATTTCTGACAGATATAATATCGGTGTCTTTATATGGCCACCAGACTATTTGTTGGTTTACTACATGACTATTCATTGCTTTTTTACTTGACGTCCTCTAACTTGATTCTTATAGTTTCCGCCCATAGCCGAGCTGAACCTGCTTTCTCCTCTCCAGTTCCTATATAGGCTAAGCAAAAAGCTCGCGTGGGACGTGCAGGTTCACGTAATGACCTACAAGGCCAAGCCAGATGAGGAGATATGACCCAGGAGTGACGTTCTGTGCGTCTGCAATGTTCGCCATGGCATCCGCAGTGTTGCATGGGTGGACAAAAAAGGCCGGGGCGCCAGAGTCAGGATGGTACTACAAGAAAAAACAAAAAGAAGACATGAGCTCTTGTCACGAGGTTCCGAGAATGCACCTACACCCATACTAATCCCACCCATTACACCCACACTCTTCAATTGTTGCCTGTACTGTTCCGGCACGACATACTGGTAGACTTCGTCCAGTCCGAGTGGGCCGTGGTTGTGCCACCTGAGGCCGAAGTACAAGACGGGGACCTGATATGTGGGGGACAACAAGATATCATAATCGATCTGTAAGCTGGCTTGGGGTTTGGCGCGAACGAGAGCTTCCTGCGGTGAAGAGTCAGGACAAGTGGACACGTCCCTTGGGGGGCTAGAACTCTGCAGACCGGATCCTCGTCTTCCTGTGATTCTTCAAGGTCCGCCAGCGTTGGGGTTTGTAGTGGGCTGGGGACATCAACACATTTTGTTATTCTGAGGCTGGTTCCATCTGGCTAGTTTCATGCGAACCATATCTTCCCATCAGTTCTTTATTCCTCAAACATAAATAAGGAACCAAATAAGGTTTAATGGCTCATGCGTAAAAAGAAGGGGGATACCTTTGTGAGCTGTCGAATGGCGGACCAGTCAATATTTTGGGCTGAAGTGCATCGATCGGCGAGATCTTGACATGCACCCTCAAACTCCGACTGCGCCAGGAAGGGAAATGCAGAGCAAGATGCAGCCATGCGGCTGGAGCCTGGAGGCTGTCAATTACTCCGTACCAGTGTCCGGATGCAGACGCTCAGCTGTGAACGCGGTGTGGGCCAGGATACGGGGGTTTAAGAGTAGCGGCACTTGACCTTGTGACTTGTCGCTTTTCGTCAAATCAGAGACGTTGGAAGATAAATCCAATATAAAAAAGAGAAAGAGAGAAAAGATGATTGCGGTGGACCGGATATAGGAAGGGAAGAAGAAAACAATGGAGTTGTCAAGATTACTATGTGTGCCAAGAGGTATCTGGTACTTCTGTTATGTATGGTCCTGGTACATTAAAAATAGGTACTAAATACTCCGCCTCCCCGGTTGCGGGAGAAGGAGGCGGTACCTTCTTCCCCTTTCCCTGTCCCGCGTGGAGATATCTTCCTAAGCGTCTCTGCATGCAGCTTCGTCTGATGCAAAATGCGCGTATAGGAATCTCTGTGGCGAAATGGTTGCGTCTTCTTTTGTTTCTATCGTTTAGTTGCATATACACTTCGTTTGTCTGATTCTCTCTCCACTTCTTATGTATCGTATGTTCCCCCTTCCCTAGTGACATCCCCCACTTCCTTGTTCTTTTCTTTTCTGTTGCTTTTTTTATTCTTTTTATATTTGCAAATTGCCTATAATCTTAATGTCCGATTGTGGTTGCCGATTTTGATCTACCCCTGGTCTACCAACCTCCCCGTGAACCGAGATTGTGAAATCCTGAAATCATCAAATCCTGCTTTGTGAAGCAAGAAAGGGACTCCCCGGCTTCCAAGATTGGTTATTTGCCTCTGACGTTACCTCAATCCTGACCGTCATCTGTCTTCCATCTCTCCAGTCCAACCAATTCCTACATCGCACCCAATCTGAAACACGGACCCCCCCATTATCTCCGGGATTGTTGGGGAACCCTGAGCCGCCAATCGTACACTCAATTCCAATCCCAGCGGTCGCACGAGCTTGGGGCTCGGATTGCGTCCTCTGTGGGCAATCAGGGCGTGGCTTGACGTCAGTAGTCCGGGGTGCGATCTAATCTGAAAAGCTCTATCAGGACAAGCTTGGAAATTCCAGAGCTAGGTCACCCCGTCGTGCGGGGGAACAGTGCTCGCCAGGCTGTCACCAGGCCCTTATTCTAATTGTATATCATTCTCGCTTCTTCCCTGCACATGCCCGGTTGAATCTGGCCAGAGCAAATCTGAATCTGCCTGCATTGCATCTGGTTCTTCTGAAGTCATGGGCAACACTCACTCGAAAGCCAAAGCTGAGACCTACCGCTCCAACCGCCTTTCAAAGCCCCTGACCAAGAAGTTTAATGCCAGTCAAAGTCCTCAACATCCCGAAACAGACCCCCCAACGATCATCAATTCAGGGCTGATAGGGTGGCAAAACCCTTGGGTTGGCAACAATATCTCCAGTACGCCTGTGGAAAAACGGGGCAGTTATCCCAAGAAAGCAGAGATCCCGCCCACCCTTTTTGAAACAGACTCGTCCGAGGAGAGCCCGACTGAGGATCGAACCTTTGTATATGAACAGAATCCCACGCAGCGTGGTCTAAGCGGCCCAAGCCTGTTGAGCGCAAGCTCTTCGAGAAGGACATCGTACCAGTCGGATACGTGGGAATCAGCTTCTCAATCCTCGCCTCTTTATGAACAGCCACCAAGGCGGGCCAGTTCGACTCGAACTCCTCTACAGAGACACAACAGCGCTGTCTATGACCACATCGGCGGTGCAACATCTTCCAACACCCACTTCTTGGTTGGCAACCAACGGTTCTCATTAACGCGTCGACGATCGCTCCTCACACGACCTGGAGTTGCGACCAGACGAACAACAGGCGCAATTCGACGCGTCCCATCCCCCATTGGAGAGCCTGCATGCCCGATCGAGGATCCGACTGAGTCGACTGTTTTGCAATGGCCATTGCCTTCGAGCTCTAGATCGCTGCGTCTACCATCCCCAGTGCGGCCGACGAGTCCCATGGAAGCCCGATATACTCAGCTCGGGGCACTCAAATTGGGGTCTTTGCGAGTTGTAAATGGCTCGGTCTCCCCATGTCCGAGCGAACGCATTCCTCTCGATGGTCCCTGCGCTCCAGGCCCTGGTCTTGGCCTTGATAACATAGAAGTCCTAGGGCCTAGCAGGGGGTCGATGCTGGAGATTCCATCCTTACCCGACATGAAGAAAACAGACGATGCTCCGGGCAGTCCGTTCTCTTTCGAAAAGTCGCCTACTATCACAGTCCAGCATCGAGCAATATCATTGTTTCCTGGGGATCTGGAAGATGAAGGGATCGTCCTCTCCGATGATACCAGAATTCAGTTGGAAAAAGGTGCTATGGACGCTGGTCTTACCCGGAGCACGCCACGATCCCTCAACAAGTCCGACAGTGGCTACAGCTCTGCCACCTCAGTCTACTCCATACAGCGGAGCCGGACTCACAGTTCTGCTGGCTCACAGACGTCTAGCTCATGTGGTGCTGACAGCTCAAAGAACGTTTCTATTTTGAAAGACTCGGCTTCAGGTCGACCAGGCGACCAAGTGCAGCGCCCTCTGAGCCTGCAGACGAAGGCAGAGAACTACTCAAGGTCGTACCCAGCCGCTGCTCGCTGGTACGATTCGAGCGACACAACCCCCCTCGCTCCGTCGCGATCGCGTCGGTCAACTTTGTGTGCACCCCGATATACGGAATATTCTTCGCCGCGGGACTCCTTCGAAGTCAAGTCTACCGCCGTGGTCTCTGTTCCACACCAGAGCCAACAAGGCTTTACCAGGGGACCTTTCTATGGAGATCGATTGTCCTTGGGCTCGTTTGATCTTGCATCTTCTACCGGGTCGGCCGCAACTGGAGAATCACAACTCAGTCGCCAACAGTCGACTACTGAAAACAAGGAGCGACTTCGCAGCTCGGCCTCCGAGTATCAAATTCATGAAGAGTACAATAGACAACTCTCTCGATCCAAAAGCCGACTGGGAAGTCGCATCTGGAGCAAGAAACCAGGCGTTGAAGTTCCCCCGCTGCCCACTGTTGCGTCCCCAGGTTATTTGCAGGATGACCTTGACCTTGATGCTGAATTAACTCCCTCTGAGCCGATGCGAGGTCGGTCTCGAAGTCGAACCAATGACTATCACCGTCGTCGGTTGACGAAGGCCCGTCCCCAGCCGGATTTGTGCATATGATGACCTCTCCCTTTTTTTTGGTTATTGAATTTCTGGTAATGATTTTATTGACCTTTCCGCTTGGATATTATTTTTATTTTGATCTTGTCTTGTTCGCCTATGGCGGCCACAAAAGTTCACTATGGAGTTGGTGCGTTTTCTTTCTTTGGCGGGAGTTTTAGGACATATTTTGGATATGGAGTCTTAGGTATACCCTTTTGGAATTGGAAGTGGAATTGGCGTGGATAATATCTGGCGTTGTACATGTATGCCATATGCCATATGCTGCTGTTTCGCAAATGTTAGGCTTTTCTTGGCCACTTAGTCTAGTCCCCGAAATGCATGCATAGCCCTGTTGGGATACGATCTCAGTGTTCGGCCATCTTGCCTTATGCATCTCCTCGACCGTGTGGCTGGGTCAGTGACTCAGGGCTTCCCCGGCCATTCCTGGATACGAAGTAAGGTTATCGAATCAAGCAAGGGGCTGTTGGTTTAACATTACAGGAGCTGGGTCAATGTGCCAAGTTCTCTACAGCCTACCAAATCATGCATGCATGTTACCTATCTACAGATGGGATACGGAATAGCAATATAATAAATATCAATTTAGACTAATTATCATAACAAAGCCAGATCATAGAAGTACAAACACAGCAAGGAAAGAAACGCCACCCGGAGATCCCAATGCAATCAATTATACCGCCATATCCATGGATTTCAAGTCAATGACACCCATAAGGTTTCTCAATCATAGGATAGGAATCTTCTTCGGCGTAGGAGTCGGCTCTTTCGGCACGACAACAGACAAGACACCATTCTTCAGACTAGCACGAACAGAGTCCTGATCCACGCGCGCGGTGAAGCTAAAAGTGCGCTGGAAGTCACCGATCGACCTCTCCTTAGCCCAGAAGTGAGGCTTGTCATTCTCGGTGTGGGAAGCAGTCTTGGAAGCAGCGGTGTCGGCCGAGCTAGTCGACGCTGCATCCTCGTCTTCAACTGTCGCTTGGTGCCAGCCTGCGGGAGATGAGCTGCGGCTTGAGCTGGCAGCGTTGTTCTTGCTGCCATTATTGTAATCGCGGTCTGTGTGGCCCTTGATCACGAGTGTGTGTGGATCGGTGAATTCGATCTCGATGTCGCTCTGGTCCACGCCTGGCAGTTCGCCGTCCAGGTGGTAGGCACTGGTGAACTCGCGCACATCAAACGCTGGTGTGAAGGTGCTGCCAGCTTGGAGCTTGGTGCACTGGTAAGACTTGGGACATTTGCGAGACTTGTATTGGTTGGGAGCCTCGTAGTCGTTGAGGAGGAAGAGTGGCGAAAGGCCGGATTGGGAGAAGAAGGCCATTGTTTTAGATTTGGAGGCTTTTTGAATTGAGTAAGGTAAGAAAGATAGAGAGTATCTGAGATACTTTGAAGATTGTGCTCTGTTCCAATTGCCCTGGAATGTCTGCCATTTTATATCCGTGTTGGTTGTATGTGATGTTGCTTATACTCCAGCGGAAGCATCCAGAAACTTGTGGGGCATTCGACAAGCCGCCAGCAACTTCAAGGAACAACCACCGCATTCTATACATTCTATACATGAATAATTCTAATAATCTAATTACTCTGACAAATGTACTTTCTAGAAACGAATGATGACGATTGGTAATCCATTTGTACCTCCAGGGCTCGAAACTTCCTAAGGGCTTTGCAATGAGTCAATAGTTGTACAGTAATATGGACAGAACACTGTGACAATGCCATAATGGTTCAACACTATATGATAGTTATGACTAGTTACTATTATACAAAATGTCTTCAAAACCAGGCCTCAACCGTACCACACATGTCCATGCCTTTGCATACATGTTCAACATGCTCGCAGGAATTCGTCCCGGGTGGAACCGGCGACACTGGAGATCTCCGATTCTATTTCAATGAGTGAACTGGGGAAGAAAGCGGCTGAAAGGCGGGAGACATACAAATCTAGCTGTGGAGGCGCCCTGAAGAACTAAGATTCTGGGGATCTGGGGCCCGTCCGCTCATCGGATATTGCGGATTCCCGGGGTAGCATACAACTCGAGCTGTCGATGGCCCTTGCGCAAGAGATATTCAATGGTGCTAAAGTCCTTCTTGTTCACCGAGAGATGCTTTTGGAACTCTGCTCTGTAGATGTCCCGTCTCAGCCGGATTGTACCGATATCTAGGGGGAACGCCGTCGGGAAAGGAAAAAGGAAATGAGAGGAAATGACGGGGGATAGGGAGATACGCAGATACGCAGGTAGACAATTGATAGAGCCTTACCGGGCATAGTTCTTGAAATTGATCCTGGAGTCCTACAATAGAGTAAGTATCAGTTGATGTGATGGGAGGTGAGATAACCCACCTCAGGCTTATTTCGGATCTCCCGTAGGCATTTTCGGTATAGAGAGAGAACGTCCCGCTGGAGACCGGAGAGCCTAGCCATTGTCTCAATATGAAGAGGGAAAAGGCCTGCAAATCATTGGACGGAGCTCGATGTGTTTCCCGCTCTGGGGAAGAAGAGGTCTTTTCCCGGCCGAGTGCCCCTGGAGATATCAGCCCGTTCTTCCCCATCGAACTTTCAACTTCCCCATATTCCATATTCCCAAATGTCTTTTACTGTGAGTGTTAAAATCATCCCTGCATTTTAAAAGAAGCAAAAAAAGAAACGGAAAATATATATGTGTATATATATTAGATCAATTATGTGATGAAAGTACTATTGCATCAACACATGCTGATTTCCTGAATAGCGCCTCATCCGCTTCGTGGCCAAGGATGGCCAAATCTATTACGGTGATGCTCTTCTTCCATCCGGAGTGAGCGATATCGCCAAAGCCACCAAAGCCAGAGTCATCCAGGGTGATATCTTTGGCCAGCACCGGATTACCGACCAGGTCGCAGATGTGAGAATGCTCCTCGCACCCCTGGCCCGTAAGGATATTGGCACAGTCCGATGCCTGGGTCTCAACTATGAACAACACGCCAAAGAATCGAACATGCCCATTCCCAAATATCCAGTGTTGTTCTACAAGCCCGTCACCTCAATTTCCGGGCCCGTAGATGATATCCCCGTGGCACAACTTGCCCAGGAGGGCGAGGGTCTGGATTACGAGTGCGAACTGGTCGCCATTATCGGCAAAGAGGCCACTAACGTCCCCGAGAGCAAGGCTCTCGATTATGTCCTGGGTTATGCTGTCGGCAACGATGTTTCCCACCGCGACTGGCAGATCAAACGGGGTGGAGGTCAGTGGGGATTGGGTAAGGGCTTTGACGGCTGGGCACCGTTTGGTCCTGGCATTGTTTCTTCCAGTGTGATTGTGGATCCAAATAACTTGGCTATCGCGACCAAGTTGAATGGGCAGACAGTCCAGTCTTCCTCAACTAAGGACATGATCTTCGGCGTGGCTAAGACGATATCTTTCCTATCTCAGGGAACTACACTCTTGCCTGGTGATCTCATCTTCACTGGAACGTGAGTACTTCCTACTTCCTGATGAGCAAGCAAGTAGCCGTTTCAATTTGATAGACTGACTGTTTGGCAGACCCCAAGGTGTGGGCATGGGCCGCAAGCCTGCTTTGTGGTTGAAGGACGGCGATCAAGTCGAGGTTTCGCTGGAGGGCGTCGGGTCCTGTGTCAACCGCGTGGTATTTGACAAGCCTACCTCCAAGCTCTAAATTTATTTCCCTTAAACTTGCCTTGAGACCAATGAACGGGTTGGTACTGGTTCAAGTCGTATATAACTACCTGTACATTTCAGTCTTTGCAATTGATCGTCGTTGTTATTCGGAACCAAAAATTATCTTTGCATCCGTAGTCCCGTGTGCATTACATGTAAAAGAAAAGCGTGAATTAAGATCTAAGCAGTCTGGGCGCCGTATCCCTTGATTCTCTCGGCAAATGCCCAGCTCTGACCCTGAATCTGCTCATCCTCCTTCAGGTCAATACCATCCTTCGTGATCACAGCTATCGAGTACATGTCGGAACTTCGTGCATCACGGTAGAACAGAACCTTCAAGCACTCCTTCAAGGCCTCAACAGCCTCTTCCTTGCTGACTTGCTCCAGGGGGGTACCCTCGGGGAACTTGCGGCGCAGGATCGGGACCGCAAGATGAGCACCAAATCCTGTAGCCAGATGAGGAGCAGAGAATGTTGTTCCGAGCAAATCCGCCGAGCTAAGGAATGGCTCCCCTTCCCCATCGAAGCCTGCGACAAGGACGTGGTTCCACAGCGGGTTGAACTCGGAGCGTCGTTTGTAGAAGACCTTTGCAAGGTACGTGTGAAGGTTCTTGGCGTTGAGCATGTTGCCGTGAGGCGAGTAGTTCTCCTTGATATCCATGGAGTCTAGGAGACGGTCGAGATATTGCATGTCGGAAACGTCACCGCCAAAGCCAACCATTGCCTTATTGCCGAAATTACGCAGACGCTTCACGTCGGAGAAACGAGCCAGGGATCCGTAGGAGGCTATACATTCACGTCAGATGGCAATTCGAAGGAAACGGAACGTGGCAATGGAACGGGCATACCCAGGTTGTCGGTAGCTATAGCGACTCCGCCATTAAATTTGACACCCACCACTGACGTTCCCGTAACCGCAGGGGATGAGGTATGGGCCTTGGGGCCTGTGGTCTGCAAATATGAGTGATCGTAGGCACCGTAGACATCGTTCCTGGGCTGGACGGATAGTTAGCAATAGAGCAAGGACTGGGAAAGTGTCGTGCCACCTACGCGGCCCCAAGCTTCAGGGAAGTGGTTCATGATGAATGAAGAAAAATGACAGTTTCAAGGAGGCTCGAAGACAAGAGGTAAATTGCAGACGAGGGAAGACAACAGATGGATGGCACACTAAAGTGATGACGATAGATGGGGAGCTATCTTAGGCAGTCGAGCTGACGGAGAGCTCGGCTGACTAAGATTCACGGTCACCCTCCAGGGTTGGATGTAGACCAACAACTATGTTATATCCTCTGAATACGACCTTTTAGAATTAGTTACACTATACGTAGGTATCTACATTTTCTCCCGAGGTCTTATACATATGGATGTACTTTCGTCCAACCTGATTTGGTGCTCGTATTCGCTTCCAAAGGGACTTTCTTGGTAGGATACTTCGCCTCAAAAACTTATGGACCTCTCCTATAATACGGAGCAGATCTGCGCCCCTGGCAGTGCCTCCCTCCATTTAACAACCTTTGGATACCCAGGCTTTTTTTCTGCAAAATCTAATGTCTTCGCCGGGTTCAAGTCGTGCTGGGTCAATGGCATCTGCCCCTCCCATTGATGACAGTGTCCATTCACGCGTGTATAACATCACCAACCAGTTCTTCCGCCGGCACTATGACATCAACTCAGCAGATGACCAGCCTCTATTTTACGGCGAAGTATCTGAGTTCACCCCAAACAAGCCCGACCTTATTCTCCACGCTGGTACCAGCAGCAAAGCCCCAATTGTGGCCGTCTCCAAATTTGCCAAGTCGTCCGGTGATTACAAAATAGGCATTGGGAACCCCGACGATGTGAACGGCGTCCTGTGGGAGGACATGACCAAGGAACTCATTCACAAACCAAAATACCGCTTGGAAATGACAGTTCATTGTGAATCTGACCAATCTCAGAGTGGGAGGCGGTCATTCCTGTGGAAGCGAACACGCACCATTGGCGTTGAAGATTCAGCGCCGTCTAAATGGACCGGTCAGAACTATAAGCTCGTGGATGAGCACAACAAGCAGATTCTGGCCGTGTTTTCAGGCGCAACAGGACTGGAAAGAGGTGGGAAACTGCAAATCAGAGTGGAATACGGAGAGGACTTTGATCGAATGGTGTTGGTTACTTGTTTAAGTCTGTATGAGAAGGCGAAGCGACGCAAACACAGAGCTGGTGGTGGTGGTGGCGGAGGCGGAGGAGGAGGCTGAAACAAGCATCATTGTTGCAATGTATGATCCACAAGTATGATAATTATACACGAGTCCAAGTGTGCGCTATATCAGTGCAAAGGGTATCGTTGATCCTCTTTCCAGAGTCATTGGATATACCACCAGTATGTTTCTCCGAGACGGGCACATAGTCTTGGACTTTGATCAAGGGTCGAAGAGTTCTTCTTGGATCATAGGACACCAAAACGGAGGTTCCTGTGTCAGGCAGGCAAATACTGCGTCACTGAATATTCGAAGCATTCAGGTTATGTGCTTGAATCACCATTTCAGGTCATAATTTTGAATGTCACATTTCCCGAAAAACGATGCACGCGAGGCCATTTGGCCCTGCCATTGGAGATCTGGCGTACGAGAAGGTCGGTCTTCTTAGTCCGGTTCCCGCTGAATCCATCCTCAGGCAGATCCAGAGACGAAGTCAACAGAGCTTCGCTGGCCCGATACCTTTTTCGCCTCCGATTGTTTACGGAAATCTTGTTGCGTTCTCAAGAGCTCTTCCTTGAAACCCCATTTGGGCAGATCGGAGGGATCCCATAGGTCGGCAGGCAGCGATGTGTCATATTGTGATTGCTCATCGATCCCAGCATGTTCCATCATCTTCTTCAGCAAGCTTGGATTCTTAAGCGATGACGAGCTGGCCAGTTTCGAGTTGAAGTGTACGCCTTGCTTTTTGAGCGAGAGGAAATGCTCGAATTTCGCGTTCGCGGCTGGGTTGGGAGATCCGGGAGGTGATGGTGGGATGTCTAGATTGGGAACGGGAGGGAGAGTGAGGTCTTGAATGAGACTTCGTGAAGCCGAGAAGGGAGATGAGCGTCCACTTGTCGAATGCTTCTCCTCCGAGAGGGGCGCCATGTCGATAGAAGCGGGGCCAAGGACAGGTCCTTCTGGGATTGAATCGGCCGCAGCGTGAAATCGTATCTCTTTTGGTTGTTGGTAGGTTGGCTTATGATCTGGATAAAGTGTCAGAGCCAACCTTTGGAGCTTACTGATCCCCGGAGAATTAAGAGGCATGTTACCTTCGTTCTGGCCAGCTTGTGAGATTGTAGGTGGAATATTCTTGTTGCGCTGTTAGTTCAGAGTCAGCGGATATCCGGTGCTGCTTTTTCGGGGCTCAAAATACCTGAGAACTGGGTGGAGGACCCTTGTGCTCTACCTCATCCTCACTGCTGCTCTCATAGTCACCAAGACCGAGCATCACGTCGCAGTTTGTGTCTAGGTATAAGCGTCGGAAGTGAAGAAGATCAAGAGGACACTGAAATAAGATCCAGAGATATGGACAAGCTTATATTTCGAATGAGAGTATGTCAAACTTAACGTCAAGGAATAATTGAGGCGCCGAGAGTAACTATCAAGACAGCCCTCGAGGGCTCTCGGGGAGCTTGGATATTCCTTACCTAATCAGAAGGCAGCTACCGCATCGCGTCAGACACCCAGCTTCTTTGCTCTCCATCTTCCAGAACTCCGCAATCTCAAGAATCGCCTACATCCAACACTTTAATCTTTTCTATCAAGCTGCTGTTGTGATATTTTCTTCCGATCAAGCTTCATTTCCCCGAAAATGACGTCGCTCATGGGTAACCACTCTGGGACTATCGGATACTCCTTCTCTGAGCCAACATCCGCTAATGTCAAACAACACTCGTTCTACCCGTAAGGAACAACATTATCAAAGCGAGCAGGAACATTGGCTAACTGTTACACTAGTTACACCGATAATGGCGGTTCCACCCTCGGCATCACGGGTGCTGATTTCGCTATCCTCGCCGGCGACACTCGTTCCACATCAGGCTACAATATCAACTCTCGGATGGTTCCCAAAGTCTTCAAGATCGGCGGTGATGATGAGACCGGCGAGGGAGCTAATATCATTCTTTCTGTTGTTGGGTTCGCCGCCGATGGAAACGCTCTCAAGGAAAAGCTGGACACCATGGTGAAGATGTACAAGTACCAACATGGGAAATCCATGTCAGTGGGAGCATGTGCACAGCGATTGTCGACCATCCTCTACGAGAAGCGATTCTTCCCGTACTACGTACATGCTATTCTGGCTGGTCTGGATGAGGAAGGCGTGGGGGCTTTGTACAGCTACGACCCGGTGGGTTCTTACGAGCGGGAACAGTGCCGGGCTGCCGGTGCGGCATCTAGCTTGATCATGCCTTTCCTGGACAACCAAGTCAACTCCAAGAACCAATACATCCCGGGAAGCGGAGAAGGACATGCCCTTGTCCCTAAAAAGGCTGAGCCTCTGGACAAGGAAACGGCCAAGAAGCTTGTAAAGGATGCCTTTACAAGTGCCGTGGAGAGACATATTGAGGTTGGCGATGGTTTGCAATTGGTGATTGTTACCCGGGAAGGAATTGAGGAGGCGTTCCACGCCCTGAAGCAGGATTAGAGTATAGGATGGTAGATCATGGCCTTCTTATCGGGCGCGGGGCCCTTTTTTGATCAGTTGATCACCAACATAATCGAGATGAATGAAATTTCCATGAATTGATATCTTTACGTTATACGTCGTCATGCCCTCTAAGGTCAAAAGGAAAGAAAAAAAGAGGACAGCTTAAAACCTGATGCACCTGAACGCCTACACCATGCCGATTGAGATATATGAGCCGTGGAATCAGAAGCGCTCCTTCATCCGCGAGGCGACGGTCCGAAGATTGCCATAAACTTTGCCCTGTTTTGTGTTAGAAAATTTCCTTTGAAGGTCTATACGATCAAGACTTACCGGAGGGCTACCCAAAATCAAACTGACAATTGCCTCTCGAGCAATGTGAATGTTCTTAAATCCGCCGAGAATGTGAATCTTCTGGTCTGCAAGTACCACTCGTGTCCGACTGGCGTTTTCGATGGCAAATTTGGTCTTTCCATCCTTGCCTGCAATACGTCCAATAGCACGGCCAAGATGTTCTCCGTTTAGAGTCTTCACATCCTTGATCTCGAACGTTTGGATGTACAGATCATCAAGTCGGAGAAGGGCAATTGCATCGTCGAGGTCGAAGCCAAGAGTGAAGGCCTTGACAAAATCAGCACCTTTTTGGAGAGCTCCCACATCGTTGGTAAATTTGGAGGTTCGCAATTCGACTGATCGGCTTTTGATGTTCATTCGCACTTGCAACTTGAGGTGCTCGACGATAGGAGGGCAGATCTTAGCCCAGCTCGCTTTGAGCGGGGTCATACGGTGCGGTGGGACAGGCACCTTTCGTGTTTCGATCCGATATGCGGTAGCGACGTCTTTGGCCGGGGTGAAGACAGGGCGACCTTCTTCGTCGATGCGCATTTCGCTGTCCTCCGCAGTCTCGGCAACGGGGTTAATCGGAGCGCCCTCGTTGGTGGCTTGAACATCGATCAGAACTTCATCATCTTGATCTATTGATTGTCAGCTATGAAGACGATTTTTGCATATCAGATCGAGACTAACCATGAGAAATGGTCTCAGGCTGAAACCCTAGGGGCTGCTCTGGCTGGCGAATAGCTGTAGGGGCCGACATTGTGTTGATTAAAGTGTGAAGTTTTTTTTCCTCATAAAATCTGTTATCGCAAAATTAAATCAGTTCCCCCCACGGAAAAATGAAGTGTGGGCGGAAGGGAATTTTTTGATGCAAACAGGACAAACTCCGATGATTTCATTCGCAACTCTCGCAAGCTTGGAAGCTTCTTGTCAACAAGTCAACGGCTGTTCATGAAACAGTGTGTCTGTCCTACTTGGTTGTGTCAAGTTTCTCATTCATGTCCAGTATGTAAAGGCAAAGATGTCTGCCAATCTGGGACGCCGGCTGTACGCCCATATCTGGGATACGGCAAATCCAATTCTTGGTCGCATACGAATAAATCGCGTATCGGCCCCGGATTCTTATACCTCAAGATTATTCCTCGATTCGTCCCTTTCAAATCACTCGCGACGTATCTCGACACTCCCAACGAAGCCCACCCGCTTGACCAAAAGATTCGCTTCTGGTGGCTTCTTCGTCCTCGGCGTCTCGCCTACTTCAACCGCTGCAGACAAACCTGCAGCGTGCATCATCTCATCTCCCAAAATTGCCGCCCAGTATGCCTGGAACCGAACTTTACATACCTCGAAACACCATCCACAGGGGAAAGAAGCTTCTCAAGACACTCATGAACGCAACGAAAATGACCACCCCCAGAAACTCGGCCCACCCGGCAAAGATACATCCACCACACTTTCACAAACTAAACCATCCCAAGATACTCAACAATCGACAATGAACAGTCGCCACTTAATGGATCGCTTACCACATATGCCTCACCTACATCGGCCAACCAAAGAGGAGCTTTTGGCCGCAGCCACTGGGTTCTGGTCGCGCCTCAAAGTACGATTCAAGTGGTTTTCTATAAGAAGTGTTCGTCCTTACAATTTGGATGAGATTGCTGCCCTATTCTCGTGGGTTTTGCTTGGCCATATCGTCTGGGTTGTCGTGGGGACTACCACTTTCTTCTCGCTTCTGATCCTTGCGATCAACACAGTCTTTGCTCAAGGTACGTTCACCTTTTGTTGCAGTAAGGCCTAGATACTAATGTGCTTGAAAAGAGACCTTGGCACGGTGGGTGGGCAACTATCTCACAAAGTCTTCTGGAGTCAAGGTTGTTTTTGAATCTGCAATCGTGCCCAAATGGAAAAATGGCGTCATCACCTTCAAGAATGTCTTTGTGTCGAAACGGCCAGGCCAAGGCACTGGTCATGTCAGTAAGGGCTCGCCGAAGTCCGCGGCAGCCGCAGCCGCAGCTCGAGGTGACACTGGGCTCGAAGATTCCCAAGTAGTATCTGATGAAGAGGAAGATACTAACTACACACAATTTGATTTGTCGATCGAGACGGTCAACGTGACATTATCCTTTACCAAATGGCTCAATGGAAAGGGCCCACTTCATGATGTTGAGGTGAAAGGCATACGGGGTGTTGTCGACCGTCGCCATGTCTACTGGCCGGAGGAAGACTTAGATCCTAAATCCTACCGACATGAGCACACTCCTGGTGACTTTGAAATCGACTCTTTCAAGATGCATGATCTGCTTGTCACCATTTACCAACCGGACAACTTCCGTCCCTTCTCCGTGAGCATCTTCTCATGCGACCTCCCTCAGTTGCGGAAACAATGGCTCTTCTACGATTTCCTCTCTGCCAACATGATGTCTGGGTCTTATGACAACTCTCTGTTCACAATCCACGCTCGTCAATCCCATGGATTCACGGGTATCCGGCAGGACAGCGAGGTAGATGAAGACGGGAAGCCAAGCCCGTGGAAGAAACATAATAGGATTCGAGTCGACGGACTCAATATCGACCATCTTAACCGCGGTGTTGAGGGCCCTTTCTCTTGGATCCACGAAGGGACTGTAGATATTGTGGCCGATATCATGTTACCAGCAGAAAACGATGAGAGCTTGGCCAAGGTGATGGTCGATTTCTATGATCGGTTGGAAGCCACTGTCACCACCAACCGTTACCCGGAGCCTCTATCTTCGTCCTCGAGTCCAGAATCAGAGACTGAAGATCGACGTTTCCTCGCCATGGATTTGCGCGTGCACCTCAACAACGTTCGGGCTGTCGTCCCCATCTTCACCCGGGACCTGTCTTACATTAACAACGCACTGATCCGTCCTATCGTTGCCTATATCAACTCCAAGCGCACTTTCATTCCCATCAATTGCCGCTTAGTCAAGCGCGTTGGAGATTTTGATGGAAGCTGGACCGTCTTTGACAGTGGCCTGATGGATGACTTGTCAGCTGCAGTAAGTACCCTTTCCTTGTGTTCTACAATACCAATCATTGCTAATGACTTCTCTAGACCTACGATGCCTTTGCCCGCGATGTCGTGGATGATCAAGCCCGGAAAAGGCGGTTCAAGAAAGTCGGGTTTTGGTCCCTTCAGCTGGCTGCCCAGGCTATTTTCATGGGCATGGCTGGCAACATTGCCTAATTGTACTATTCTGTACCTCATTTGACCGGCGTTCTTTTTCTCTTCTTTTCATTTGGTCTGTACTATACTCATTGCGGTCGCATTTACAGGAGTCTAGGCCATTCTTTTTCAAGATAGAATCCATCTCAAGCCAAATAAGGAAACAGAACTCGAAGCAGTCCAACTGTGAGACGATTTCAAGGTGTTGTCTGGACATCCACAACATTATAATCAGCAACCTCCAATGATCCTAGACATTTTTATATCGCTCTGGTTC